CTTTCCCTCCCTTTTATATTGCATGCCAACTGGTTACCTGGAGAAATCCTGTGGGAATGACTGTTCTCCCCATAATATTTCTTACAAAGCATTCTTGAGTGGACAGGTTATATGTTGAGTTAAGAGGGAGGCTGGCTGGTCACACATCAGCTGATCCATGGTACCTGTTCTGCTCTCTTCCATAGCAAATGTCAGCTAAATGTCAGTAATTTACCAGTTGTAAACCATATTAGTGGAGATCCCACCTATTGCTGGGATAGAGCACACAAAGGAAACAGTTACTGAGGATCAGCTGACCTTCCTTACACTTCTGTCCCCTAAAAGTTTCAGTAGTAAAATCGGTATGATTTTTTTTTTTCTTTTGACACCCTATATTTTATTGAAAATACAAAAATAAATTCTTAAGAATAGCTTTTGCTTGTTGTAAAAATGGCTCCTTTTTGATAAAGGAACTAGAAGAAATTTTGGACACTGACTGCTCAGTCTGGTTGTTTAAACTAAAGTATATTTTAACATAAAGGTAGATTTTAACAAACTCTTATGCAACAGGCTGGGAAAGTAAAAATGTTTGATATTGCTATTCAAAAAACAGATGAAGATTCTCAACTGCTTAAGTTGGTGGAGGTGCAAAAACAACCTGATGGAGAATGTTTCATACACCCATATCATCAACAAATTATTTTAGCAGTAAAAGGAAAGCTACTGGGCTGATGATTTACCCAGGATATTTTCATCAATTATTTTCTGTGACCCTTACCATCATGTAGGGAATGTAGTATGGTTTGTACTTGGCATATTTTCACTGATAGACTCTTGCAAATAGCAATTTAAAGTTAGTAAAGGAATATGAATTTGGCTTTTAGCCATTACTGGCTTGACAAGCTTCACTCATTTTAATTATATAATTTGACCTATTCATCTATGTATTAAAAGTTTTAACTGTCTTTATTTGCCTTCACAAAAACCTTGAAATAAGTAAAATTAAGTATACAGAACATATTTAAATCAGTTATTGTATGGCCTTTGGATGCTTCATTTAAACAGTGAAACTGTTAAAAATAGTATAACTGATATTACCAGAACACTTTTTTTTTTCTTTTTCATTTCTGAAAGAGAAAAGTAAATAAAAAACCAACCCAGATTTCCAGGACTGTGGGTACTTCTGACTTGTATTCAAATATTTTTCAAAAGATCAGAGAGAGATCTGTGTGGATTTTTTTCACTGCCTTGCCAATATAGCTTATCTTTGTTCGAAAGATACCACCATCTTTTTCTTTCTCTTTCTATCCATTCAGCCCCTGAACTTTTTCTGAAACCGTTCAGCAAGAATGCCAATTTTAATAGTGTTTTTTTCTTATTTGGGAGTATTTTCTGATGTGGAAACAATAAGACCTTTTGCTATCAAATAGCTGTCAGATGGTAGCAGCTCCACTACCAGATTTATTCTCTTCGGCGTATTGTTAAAAAAAATGTTGGTTCAGACATGCAGCTGAAATTCTGGCACTTGCATTTTTGTAAATGATGATTTCAATGGGAAGTCTGCAACAATTTAGTTATAATTTGATTGAAATGCACAAGTTCTTGTCAGCTACTTAATAGAATAAGCTTTGTGCTTTCTATTTCATGTACACATTCATTAGGCTTCTTATTACAGCTAGCTGTTATGTACATGTGAATTGGTACACAGTTGGTTTGTTCATTTTAATATTTCAGCATTTGAAAATGGGGTGTGTTCAGCCATCTGACTTCTCTCGCCATTTACCAAATGCTTAATTATATTAGTGTACATGCTGCATGTGGCCCAGGTAAACATTAGTAGACAAAATCTGTTAGCCGCCAATCTTGCCTTCCATTGTTGAAGCCAGCATGATGAATTTTGGTTTCTTGTGCAAAATTTAAGAGGTTGGTCCAAAAAAGATTCACTTCTACTATATTTTATAGAGTACTGTTATAAACAAGGATATTAGTTTTAGGGTTATGTCCCCTCTTGCTTGATAGAAATGTGTGCCCCCCTCATGCTACCACCCCATTACTAAATCTGGCTCTGAAATTATTAGTGCTGCAGTCTGTGTAATGGATCAAAGTCCACCCCCAGGTAGTTGAACAATGAAGTGAAGAACAGTGAAGAAATCAATATGCCCATGAAGCTCATTAATGCCTTCTCCAAAACAGCACGCTGGGGAATCTTCTTCAAAAACCCAGTTTACCTAGTGTTCCAAGAAATCAGTTGACCTGATTGACCTCTGATTTTTCTATTCCTGGGCAAAATAATTCAAAATGGAGTTAACTGCCAAACTCTACCACTTGACATAAGAAAATATCCTGGATGCATTTCCGTCATGGTTCAGACTAAGGCACAGCACAAAGAATAGTCTTCATGGCATTAAAAGATTTTCTTGGACCCCCAGCATGATTTCCGTGCTCAGACATCTGGACTTCTCTATAAACTGTGGATGTGTAGATCACAGGATTCTATTAACTTACATATGGGAAATAGAAGTAGTAGCTAAAACAACACCCCAGTATCTACAGTAGTCCTCCATTGGAATTTGGAGGGTT